TAGCCATGGGAATTGTGCTCCTAAGGGATGGATGCCTGTGGATAGAGAGGTTCATGATGTCTCAGACAAGACTGGAAGCAGTCTGTACATTCAAAGCCTTGTAGCCCTCACCTGCTCTATCATCAGTATTTATCACCCCTGTTTTAAAAAGTAAGGCATCGGGCACTTCAGTGACTTAACTGAATTCCCACTGGCAGCAGGGCAGTGGAGACCTTCAAGCTATTGTCCATAGGCTCACTATACTCTTTGTTCCCCTTTTAAAAATTGTATGAGTTTGTGGTGTTTTGTCCCCGCTACTGTAAGTATGTGCATTTATGCATGGATGCTGAGGATAGGGCAGAGTTGAATGCCTTTTCTCAATTGATTTCCACTGTAAGGAGTAGGTTTTTCCACCCGCCGCTGGTCTTGTCCCACCACGGTGCCAGCTCCAAATAACGTACAGAGACTCTGTAATTGATATAATGCTGCTGGCCAGGTACTAGTTTCATATCGGCTAGCTCTGTCTTAAGTATTAACCCATTTCTGTTAATTTATGTATTTTCACGTGCTTTCATCTTACCAGGGAATGGGGCCTGCATCTGGTCTCCCCAGTCTCTCCATCCTGACCCCTCCTTACTACTTCCTCTTTCCTCCTTGTCTCCTAGTCCCGCCTATCTTGCTTTCCTATTGGCCAACAGTGCTTTATTCATTAACCAGTATGAGAAACATATATACAAAATGACATCTCCCATCATCTCCTCTTTTCTGTCTAAATAAAAGGAAGGGTTTTAACCTTAACATAGCAAAATACATAACACAACAGTTATCAAATTAGAATTATAGTTAACAACAATATTTAGTCCATTAACATTTAGTAAGATGTGAAGAAAATATTTCATCATTTATCCTAAAGTCTAAGTAATTTATCTTTAATCCTAACTAAGGAAAACTATAATCATAACTATCTGTCTTCAACTCCATCAAAGACCACAGAAGGATAGTATATAAACTCTAGAAATGACAGAGACATCTTGCCTTGTCAGTCACCTGAAGTTCTTTTGTAATGTTCCATCTTCAGCCTATAGGCCATAGTGTGTCTGGCAGACTCTTCAGCAAAGCAGGAAAGTTTAAATTGTCTTCTTGTATTGGCAGTTTGTCAGTCACTTCTCTCTGTGTCTTGCAGACTGTCTGGCAGACTCTTCCATGAAGCAGAAATTCTGTAGCAATGTCCATCTTGAATCAGTAGTACCTTTTCTGTGGGTCCTTCAGTTTTTGAAACAGTTTGTCACTGTACCAGAAGGTCATTGACTCAGCTAGACTGGCTGGCCAGTGAGCTTCAGAGATCCACAAGCCTCCATCCCCCCCCCCCAGCACTGAGGTTACAAGCATGCTTTGCTATACCCAGATATTTTTTACCCACTCACACTTTTTTGAGAATTTCATTCATGTCTATTATGTTTTTATCAAACCAACCTCTCCATTCTCTCCCCCTCCAATTTCTACTGCATGCCCTCATCGCTATTTTCTCATCCCAACTTCATGTGGTATTCTTAAACCCACTGAGTCTTAAGTGCTGCCCAGATGTCCATGAGTGTGGGACCATCTACTGGAGCATAGGTAGCCTCTCTGGGGCCATGTCCCTGAGAAACCTGACTGTCTTTCCCACAGCAACTATCATTTGCCAATGTCCTCTCTTATAGCGGTGGGAGTTTGTAAGACCTGCTACCACCCTGGGATTTTTGCTGGCTCTGTCCTGAATAGGCCTTGTGCATGCATTCATAGCCACTGTGAATTATTATGTGCAATGGCCCTGTCCTGTCTGAAACATGTTGTTTTGTTATCTAACTCCTCTTCTGCAGTAATCCCCAAGCTTTTGGGGGAGGCATATGTTATAGACGTCCTGTTTAGAGGTGAGCACTACATGGTCTCTTGTTCTCTACATGTTGACCAGCTGCGGGTCTCCAAAGAAGTCATTGTGTACTGTCCAAAGTAGCTTTTCTGAAGAGGGCTGAGATGAGAATATGGTCATGGGCAGTTTATTACTGTTTCTGTTCATACAGTAATAGTCTTAAGTCCCTCCAGCTCTTATGAGGTTCTGGAGATTCAAGCTTGGGTCCCCGCACCTGTGTGACAGGCACTTTATTGATTCTGCTGCCTTCATCAGCTCCAACTTCACATTTTACACGTGACTCACTAGACCCTCAGATAACTCTGAGGCCATAGATCTGGGACTGGGACTGTGGTTCTGCACTTGTGACAGATTTCTCAGTGACATTGATGCTGCTGACTCCTGGATCATGTTGGAGGATAGTCTCTGGACTATGATGGCTTCTTTCACCTCCTGGAGCTAAGCTACTCTATTCGGTGTTGGCTTTCATCAGGACTTTCTGGTATCATCCTTTCCCAGGCTTAGTAGATTGAAGATTGAGGTTGTGAAAACCATTCATGGTAGTTCAGGAACTGGATGGATGGCTGAAGGGTACAAAGTGCCTGGATAACATGTAGAATAGACCGCACATCAGGCTTCTTTGGACCTTGAGCCCGATTAAGCTTACTTAACTCTCCCGCTATACCTTCCTCTCTACTGCTTCTTTCCTCCACTCCAATTTGCTCCCCACCTTTCCAACATGACTGTTTCACCTAAAATGCACCAGTCCCTTCAAACTCCACTACAGTTCATGATAAACACATGCCTATTATTTTAAATCTGGAATCTTGCTTGCTTTGTCAGCCAGAGGAGTATAGGAGTTCTAGGTTAAAATAAATTGAGCAGGGAGGGGAAGTAGAGTTTGCATAACTCTCTCTCTCTCTCTCTCTCTCTCTCTCTCTCTGAGGTCATGTATGCAATGAGAGTTCAGTCTTGGAGATCCAGGTTGCTTTCTGTAACACACACACACACACACACACACACACACACACACACACGTTACTTGTCATCTTGCCATCCTCCAGAATAATCTCAAGTGAAGGTGATACAACTACTGGTTTGAAAGAATGTGAGTTCTTCTGGAACAGGAGTTTCCTTTAGGAGTGGAGAGAATTCTCTCTGGATTTCTGATTTCTGAACACATCTCTCTGTATTCCCCAATTACACATTCATTCATTCATTTTTAATTTTGAACTTTATATATGTGAGTATTTTGCCTGTAAGTTATGCCTGTGTACCATGTGTGTGCCTGAACCCCAGAGAGGACAGAAGAGGGTGTTAGACCCCAGAAACTGGAGTTACAGAGGTTGTGAGATGACACCGGGGTGCTGAAAATTGAGGCTGGTTCCTCTGGAAGAGCAGCCAGCACTCTTAACCACTGAGTCACTTCTCCAGCAGTGTGCACAGTAATTTATGAACTTCTGTACTTGCTCTTAGATAGGCTAGGAGATTACAGGGGAGGCCAGTTGTCAGACGCAAAGATCTCCGGAAGTTCATCTGGAACTGCTCAGCAGGGGCTGCAGAGAAAGTGACAGCCAGGATGTTTTGAAGGCAAACGTAGTATGTGAGGACTATGACAAATAGTCCAGGCTTCCTGTTGTGGAACCCAGAGGGGCTAAACCAAGAAATGAACCACACTCTAAAATTACAGCTCCTAAGAATTCAAAACCTGAGAGGGTTAAGGGGATCGTCAAGCTTCTCCACCTGGCTTTCAGGGAACTGGAGACTTTTCTAGAGACTTTGTGATTTGTCTACTAATGTCTGAAATTCAATCTGGAAAAATTCTCAGACACGCCGAGACAATGTCAAAATCAGAAGAATGAGAGATCATGTCTGTGGGCCATATTGCTGTGGAAGTTGTCAGGCATGGCTGTTGAAATTTATCACTAAACATTGAGGAAATTAGGTGAGAAACTGGAGGGTTCATTGGAGAACTGAGATATGTGAAGAAGAATTAGACAGATAAGCCAAAGCTGAAAGATTACATAAATGAAAATACTGAGTAAATAGGCTTTGTGGCAGGTTAGACACACATGAAGACAAGATTACCTGTCCAGAAGACACCTCAAAATCAAATATCCAATAAGTGCCAAAAACAACAAAAGGGCAGAAAATAGGAATTGAAATCTATGACAATAATTCAGAAACATATAAGAGGTTCAATAAAATGAAATTAACACACAGGCCATGCTTGCCTTATTGCTGGTCTCTCATACTAATTCGATCTGCATTCCACCTGCCTTTTAAAAATTCAAGTCTTCCATTCTCGTCTAGAGCTCTTCACTTGTGACAGTCTAAATCTAAATTCCTGAAATTTGATTCAAATGTAAATTTAATGTCTTGGTCAGACAACCATGTTTTAAGTGCTCAGTAGCCACACATGACCAGTAGCCGATGACCTGGACAACACTCACATGGAACATTTCTTTTGACACAGAAAGTTCTATTGAACATTCAGATCAATCCCTGTGTTGTGTGTGTTTTGTTACTGGGTTTTGTTGTTGTTGTTGTTGTTTGTTTGTTATTGTCTGTTTAATTCCCTAGTGTGATGTTCAAAGTTATATATATATATTATAACCCAACCCTTTCTACTGGAAGCAGAGTAAATCCAGTGATCAACCAATAAACAGAAGAAGACAAAATGATCTCAAGACAGGAGCCTGTTGTCTTTCAGAGAGTCTTGCACACAGAGTGGTGCTCAGGGCCTGATCCTGCCATTGCATGACTCTGGGTGTTTCTGTCTAGAAATAAATGCCCAGCCCTGCATCATGGAAGATGGTAAAATCATCAGGGAAATGGTGGTTTGGTTTTGGCTCCATCAAAAAGCTCTTTATACTTGAAGTGTTTGAGGCAGGTGCGGCTTTCATTAAGCTGTACTTTGGCTTTTAAACCCAGACAGGTTTCTCAGCTGTTTGGTGTATGATGCTGTGTTCCTCCTTGGTATCTGGGTTGTGATGACTTGAAGCAGTTTTGTTAACATGGACATTATAAATTTAAGAGACATTGGTACCGTGTGGCACTGTTTGAGGTTACATCATGGGTCAGGGCTGTAAGCTGCTGTGTGTCATGATGTCTGGTCTCTTTGTGTTTTCAGTGATCTCCCTCAAAGCTACTGAAGATTCATCATTTGAGAAAAAGAAAGTGACCTGGGCATTTTTTGAAGGTAAGTCTGGGGCCTTGATGGAGCCTCATTTCTAGACAGTAAGAAGGGAATAAAAAAGAAGGGGGTGGAGATTTTGGTTTCTTTACGTTGTCATAGCATCCAGTTATGTTCCTGGACTGATCTCTGCGAGAGTGAGATGGGAGTCCCTAGTGGGGAAAGTGCTGTGAAAGCCCTAGTCTGCCCAGTTCTATTTGTTTCCTTGTCCCCATCCCCATCCCCACCCCACCCCTGAATCCCTCTCCTGAGTAATAATAAGGAGAGCCTTCGATGTGATGCAAAATTGAAGACTACTTCCACTAAAGCAACCTTTAATTCTTAGTTGCTTCAAAAGTTAGGGGTTCTAGAAGAGTATGAAAGTGGCAAGCAGAGGTTTTCATCCCATGTGAGAACCACTCAAGGAGCTTTAAAAACCAGGATGCCTGCAGGAGATTCTGACTCAGTTGAAACTTACTAATACCTTCCACTTGATTCCATCATGCAGCAGGCTAGCATCCCCCTCCTGAGAGACAGTTGCTGGCAGCAGCCCCACCTGGGAGCTTGTTATGACTGCAGGCTGAACCCTGAGGTGGTGCCTTATGGATTTGGGAGACTGTAGCAGTCGGTCTTGATGCACTTTGCAGCATGGTTTGAATCTCTAAGACGCTTGGTGTAATTAATGTAAACCTCTGGCGTCCCTTCAAGTATGAGTGGTGTTCTCCACAGCGGGTGCTTTTGGCCCTGCAGGGGCCACCTTTGCTGGTCTCAGGAGACAGTTTTGGTTGCCTCCAGTGTGAGGATGCTACTAGCATCTTGTGGTTAGAGGCAATGTACGAGACAATCCCCACATCAAAGAATTCTGCCTCCAAATGCCAAGAGTTGGGAGGTTACAGGTCTGTGTCCCAGAGAAAAGGACAGTAGAGAAATGCTCATCACAAAGCAACTGAGGGTTGTGACCATGAGCAATTGTAGTGCGCATGCTACAATCTGTTCCACTAATCGGGTGAAAGCCTAGAGATTTAAATAAAAGACAAGACAGCAGGTCATTCATGCAACAGGAATACTGGAATGCTGTTTATTGAGGGGAAGAAGCAGGCTTATATACTGACTCACAGCACAGTGAAAAACAATCAAGGGTCAAGTGTGCAAGTTCTCGTAGTTCCTTCCCAGCTGATGTGTGTTAACAAATCAGGCAGAGTACCGAGAAACCGAGAACTACTCAGGTGCAAGATGTTCCAGCCAACAGCTTCAGGCTTGCTAAAGGTGCCTTGGGGGGTCATGCAGGGCCCTATAAGCAAAGGCATCATGTGCTCTAAGTTCTCAATCAGAGCCTTTGATTAGGGGGACAGTGCTTAATGTCAATGGGGTCAGGGCAGTAGTGGAGAAGATGCCTCTACAGAGGACCTTTGGAAGGATTTGTCTTGTGAAGCCTTTGGGATGACTGATGAGGAATGAGTTGGTCAAAGGGGCTAAAAGAGGTGTGCCCCCCACCCCTGTGAGACAAACCAGATAGTAGGTAGCAAAAGAGCCAGCCTAATGGGGACAGCACAGGAATTTAAAGCCACCTTTCCCAGTTGCATGTTAGACACAGCCATCTCCTTGAAAAATTCCACTCTACTTGGGGTTGGCCACTGCCCCCCCCACCAGTTTGCCAGGACTTACTATTTAGTTTTATACTTGTAAGTAGTTGTTTTTGTTTTGTTTTCTCCCTCAGATCACATTTTATCCAATAATGAATCTTTGTATTTCTGGAATCTTCACCAACACTTCATAATTGCCTTTTTTCTAGCAAGGCAGTCCCTAGTTCCCTTCCTCTGCATCTCATTTGGCTTCCTCTTGGCCAGAGATAAAAGTGGTGGCTATCTTCCGCATAGAGGGAAGATGTGGGTTTTCTCTTCTCATTGCAGTGAGCGGAACTGAGGCAGTCTGGCCGAGCTTCGCTCCATGCCTCCGAAGCTGTCCGCACTGGTGTTAGGATGGGATGGGACAATGGCAATGGCTCTCTAAGGAACATCACTGAAGAATGTGCCAGAGGGGCCCTGGCTCCACCTCTGCAATTCTGATGAGCACACTGGGAGTCCTGTGATCACAGGTGTGAGGTAGCTTTGATGGGAGTGGTCTAAGGACCGTATTTTAAAACTGTAATGGTATATATATATTAAAAAAAAAAAAGACCACTTGGAAAGATGGTAGCAGTCAGTCTTGACACACTTTGCAATATGATTTCAATTCTAAGACCCTCTGTATAAATTGGCAACAATTTTTAATTCTACCAATGTAGACTTTAAGCTTAACTCCCACCTTAACTATAAGTGTAATCTGTGGTCCATCATGAACTTTTTTTTTTTTCAATAGAGACAGTCAAACCCTATCAAAGACTGGGGGTTGGCATTTTCCCACGCATCATGCATGCCCCAGGGTAGCAGTTTTCATACCTTCTTTCCCTGTGTTGGGGTGGTGGTCACGACACTGGTGGTAGCAGCTGTAGCAATGTCCCTGTGTTCCGTTGTTTTTTTTTTTTTTCTTTTTTTTTTTTAACACACCACAACTTTGGCAAGGTCAGGGGTGTAGTTGAAAGTCTCTGGCACAGGATCTCAGGCCTTTTGCCCTTTTGTTCCTGATTGGAAGAGCTTCCGTGTGGGTTGTGGACAGATATCCATCCTCCTGGGGCTGAGCTGGGCCTGGCTGTGTGCCTGCCCAACAAAACACGCATTGATTGTCAGGGCTCTTGATGAGATATTGGAGTGAGTTAAAATCCCTCAGGGCTATCACTCAGGTATTTTGCCCTGAGCAAGATGGTATTACAGGCTACATTAAAAACTAGTGGAAGTACATGGAGTTTTATTGCCGGAACAGCTATTCCCTAGGCTCTTGCCTTTGAACTGGAAATGCAGAATACTGACCCCGGCTTTCTTGCCTGTGGTTGTATGTGTATGGTATGGGGGCGGGGTGTGCTTGGTTGTGCTAAGGAATGCTGGGGTCACCCAATTTTAAGGCAGCACTGAATAAATACTCTGTTGGGTTGCCAGGCAACAGGTGCCTTTGTCCTGCCTGGCTTGGTTTGCAGTCTGGGAGGATGGGCAAGAGCTGGCACACAAGTATTGTCACCCTGTGTTGGCCTCTCTGTGGCATGCACAGTCACAGCAGCCTGCTGGTCCTACCATCTGCTTTGAGGAGACCTGGACTTTTTGCAGCTTGTCTAAAAAATGGCAGTGGCGCCTTTAGCAGTCCAGTGGCCCCCCCAAAAAAAATTGCAAAAAGATTTGAAGACTAAAAGATGATGTTTGCTATTGAGTGTGCAGCTATTGGTAATAATTACTTTGTTACGCATATATTCATTTTTTGCGCTTATTTGTTTATTATTTATTTGGGCAGAATGAAATTCAGTGCATCCCGCCATCTCTGCTTGTACTTTCCCACAGTGCTAAATCCCCAGTCTTATGTGGTCATTCATTCGTGTATTCATTCATTTGGTACCTTGGGCCTCATGCACGCCATGAGCATTCTACCACCAACCTACACACCCCAGTCTCCCTCCCTTGAGGCGTTTAAAAGCTGGTTTTGTTGAGTTGAGGGCTAAAGTTTTAGTATCACCCTCCAAACAATGTTATTTGGCTAGGCTTGATTTTGAGCCATATATATGTATATATTACACTAACTAAAGGACATGTGTGAAGATAGGGTGACATCAGGCCAGAATGACCACCTCTAGAACATAGTGCAACTTGCCTGAGGCTGTTCACTGTGAAAAGGAGGCCGAAGTCTTCTGATTTTGTGGCCCTGGCTTTGGGTTAGCTGTTGTTTACAGAGAAACCTGGGGTCAGTAGCAGATTCACTGTTTTTAACAGGTTCGCCCTCCTTTATGTAGTAAAAGGAATGCTTGGCACAGGAGAAGAAGTCAGAACATCTCAGTACCGATTGCTGCCTAACCTGGGGAAAATGGATGTGCAGTTTTCCTCTTCCTGTGAAGTGACACATTTCAAGGGTCCCATGGCTCCAAGAGCAGAGCAGAGAGCATCCGCTGTCACCCATGCATGTGGACCCATATCCGGGTCCTGCTGGCAGGTGGGGTGTCCATTGCCCCCAGGGCCTCTGTGCTTGGTAGAGCATCAGAGCATTGCATACTGGCCAGATGTTCTGTGATTCTGCAGCCATAGCTGCCCAGGAGAGCTGACTCCCTCTGTGCTGTGTCTAGGCTGAGACCAGAAAGCACAGCTAGACCTTGAGTTCTTTGCCTTATACCAGGAGAGAGCATGCCCAGGATGTGTGCGGTGTGTTGTAGGGACATCTGTCAGGAATGGCAAACCTCAGAGCTCACCTGCAGCCTGTTCCTTCTTGGTCCCTTTAGTCTGGAAACCATAGAGAGAGCACATGAGTGCACAGACTGGTGGATGTGGATGTTTTAACTTTGGGGCCTAGAGACTTTAGTAAGTCAGTTTTTTCCCTCCTGTCCAAGAAGAAACTGAAGCCAATTACCCTGCCTTTTTAAAATCGGGGCTGACATCTGACTCCCTTAGAGGTAAGCTTTGTCTCCATGTGCCCCAGTTCTGTCTGGCTCAGCAAAGCAATTGAGTTATTCACCACTTTTTTCCTATGCCAGCCAAGTTCCTGGAGTAATTTGCTCAACAGTGAATAAATCAGGACTGGCTTTGGGGTCACAGGATTTGGACTGTTCTGTATCCTGGTATCCTGTCCTTAGTTCGGGTCTGTGACCTCAGTGGATCATGACGACTTGTCTCTCTTAGAATCCATGCGTCTCATTGTTGAGTTTCACATTGTTGAAGCAGAGCAACAAGCCTGTTCTCCCTAACCATCCCAACCTATCTGTCTATAAAGCCACACATGAGGGCACACTCCCCCCCCCCCAGACAAAAGCAGTTGAACTTTACTGCCAGCGATAAGCCACTCTGTTTCCAACTAGACCTCCCCACACCCTGTGACTTTCCACCCCTGTGACTTCCCACCCACTGTCGCCTGGCTTCCACTAGGGCTTTCCCAGTGTCTTCTGCATGCATGGGAAAACCCCATGGGTGCTCATGCCCAACATCGGATGCACTGAGGACCCTCCCACAGTGCTTCCTTCTCAAATTACTACTCTCCCTCCAGCTTCCTGCTCTGCTTGCATTAGATTCCCAGGGTCCTTGTGGGAGACCCTTCCTTCTGCCCAGCCATCTGCTGACTCTCTTAACTCTTAATAAAAGTGGTCTGGTATACTTGTGAGGCCCAGGATAGGCAGGGCTACATAGAGAGACCACACACACACACACACACACACACACACACACACACACACACACACACCACACACACACAGACACACACACAACAAACAAACAAACAAAAACATGACCAAGGAAACTTACAAATGAAAGCATTTAATTCATGGTTCCAGAGCATTAGAGTCCATGACAGTGCCAGGGGAGCATGGCAGCAGGTAGGGATGTACTGAAGCATAGCTGAGAGCTCACGTCTTGATTTGTAAGTGCAGGGCAGAGAGAGCACATTGGGAATGATGTGGTTTTTGAAACCACAAAGCTGCCCCCAGTGACACACCTTCTCTAACAGAGCCACACCTCCCAGTCCTTCCCAAACAGTTCCATCAGTTGTGGACCAGACCAATTATTCAAATATATGAGCCTCTGGGATATATTCTCACCCAAACCTCCTCATTTACTTACATTTATTTTGTGTGTAGAGATGTTTCTTTGCATGTACATTTATGTACCGTGTGTGGTGCCTTCAGAGGCCAGTAGAGTGTTGGTTCCTCTAGAACTAGAGTTACAGACAATTGTGAGCCACAATTCAGGTGCTGGGAACCAAACCTGGGTCATCTTCAAGTGCTTGGTACAGCCCCTAAGGTTGCTGTTGTTGTTTTTAATAGTTTTGATCTGTGATTGATTAGAATTTGTGGATGTGGAAGCTGAACACACAGAGACAACTACACTTAATTTTTACTTCAAACTTCTCAGTAGCCAGGAACAGAAATCTACCCAGTCTAGCTTAGATAAAAATGTTGACTTACTCTAAGAACATGAAAGGACTTACTGACTCCAGGCATGGATTCTTCTAGGCCTCTCTAGGGCTCTAGCCAAGTAGGAAATTCAAAAGAACCTGAATGTTGTGAATCTATTTCCTCTCCCTTCTCTGTCATTGGTCACCTGTATCTCCAAATTCCCCTTGGAAGCCGCCCACTGCCACACCCGCTACATGCCATTCCAGGACACTGGTTTGCTTTCAGTTAAGGAGTTATCAGGCTGCTTCTCTGTAGCCCAAGGGTTTTACAAGGGAGCATTCCTATTGACTCAGAGGTTTGGCTAGAAACTCAAATCTTGAGAACATAATGTGAGATGAAATGAAGCATCACATTTATGAATTCTCATCCTAGAATTCTTTGTTATGAGGAAAACAGGTAGAAACAATGAATAGTCAATGATAGATGGTTTGGACAATTATTCAGGGGGCTGGAGAGGTGTTTCAGTGGATAAAGGCCCTTGCTCCCATTACAAAGGGCCAGAGTTTAGTTTTTAGCACCCACATAGCATGGCTCACAGCCATCTGTCATTCTAGGGAATCTGATGCCCTCATCTAGCCTCTATATACATACATACACACACACACACCTAAAAAAAAAGAATTAGTATTTTTATTTTTGAAAGTTTTCCAAAATAGCTCTTCCATTTTCAATCCCACCAGTTGGAGTGTCCTTATCAGCATTCTGAATGATGTGTGGACAGTCTCATTCTTTTACATGTCTTCCATTACTGAGCAAGTTGGATGTATTAACGTGCTTATTTACCACCTGGGATTTCCGTCTGGTGAAATGTCTTTGCGTGCTTCGCCCACTTTCCAGGGAGGATTCTTGCTTACTTTTTTTCACAGTTGATTTTTGAGAGCTCTTGACATGCTGTAGATACCACTTCCTGTTTGGGTCTCTGGTTTTAAATGCTCTCTCCCAACCTGAAGCTTGACTTTTTGTCTTTCTCATGCATCTGTTCACAGAGCATGAGTTTTCAGTTATGGCGAAGCAGGTTTACCTTTTCTAAGGATTGAGCTGGGTGGCGGCCCTGTCCCTGAGCTGTGTCCCTCGCCGTTGAGGTTTTCTCATAGGGAGAATGCCTCTGATGACAAGTCTAGGAACCCTCCCTCTTAGATTTAGATCTGAAGGTTTTCCTTTTGTACAATTCCCCCCCAAAGTCGTTATAGTTTACTCTTAAAAGTCTTTGGTGGTTTGTTTCGAGTTAATGTTTATGATAATGTGCCCTTCAGATCTCTATATGTATGCCGTCCTGGTGTGCTGCGTGGGGATCCTCAGTGTTCTACTCTTCACCCTGGTCATTGCCTGGCAGTCTGTGTTTCACAAGAGGAAATCCAGAGGTAAGAAAACAGATAAGATCATGTCTGGAATGGGTAGCCACCCACCCACACACACAGGCAGAAGATGTCGGGCAAAGTATCACCTTGGTGGGAAGGCCTCCTGGGTCAGTAATTGTTTGCCCTGAAGCAGAAAGCAAAGTGAATGAGGAGACTTGCTTCTCACTGCAATAAACTAACCACTGTCATGCCAGCTAAATTCCCTTCCTTGAATCGCTCCCTTCCTGGAGCTTTGGGTTCCTTAACTGCTATCATGTTATTCATCCCGTGGAGTCTGGGGCTGTGGCTGTAGCAGCCTGGCACTATGTTTTGGCTCACCCTCTTCAGAGTGAATTTTGGGGCCAAGTTTCTGAAATAAGGGACTTGCAAATGTCTTTTTGGCAGGCAGGTGGGACTGGGCCATCTCCCTCTGTTCATTTCCTGTCGTATTTTCTTGTCAGTGTCCCTGACCCCTGGAGTCTGGGCTCAGTTCTTTCTCCTTCAGGCCTTTTTTCCCATGACTCCTATCTCCCTAGGAACATCACTGTCCATCCTAACCACAGCCCATCTCTCTTTCGAAGCTCAACTTCCCAATCCAGCAGTTCTGAGAATCTGCCTGGCTGTCTACCTCTGTTCTGTTCTCTGATGATGGCTCGACAGACCTTCTTCTAGGGTGCTGGCTGCCTCCTTGAGCTTTTCTTCCTGTAGAGTCCTCTCTTGAGTGCTCCTCATGCAATCCTCCTGAGAACTTCCAAAACGAGTCGGGGACACAGTTGCTCTCAGAGGTCACCAAGACTGACTGAGTCCATTTTCAATGGCACTCCTCACTTAGCAACCAGGGACTCAGCTTCTATCTCTCTCCTTCCTCATGGAGACCCAAGTGACAGGAATGCACCAGCCTGAGAGCTGGGAAAGAAGAGATACTCAGACCCCTGAGCACATTTCTGGCGACGTGTGAGTAAATCATGCATCACTGTCACTATTAGTCCCAGCTTGTGGATCTGGGAAGAGTTCATTTCTGTTCATGTGCATAGGGACCTTTAAACTGGGAAACTGAATGACAGCTAAGAAGGGGACACTCCCCCAGGGATGTGGCCAACACTGGGGAAAGCAGGAAGAGAGATGGGCATCCAGGGGCTGATACCATATGAGACTGTTTCTCTGGGGAAGGAGGAGAGGTTCTGGGAGAGCTGCTGTTGTCCCAGGGCTCAGCAGCTGAGACCACTGCCATCCAGAAGACCTGGGTTCAATTCTCGCCACTAACATGATGGTTCACAGAGGTAATTACAGTTCCAGGGGATCTGACACTCTCTTGGGGCATCCTCCAGCACCAGGTAGGGACATGGTGCACTGATATACACACAGGCTAAACATCCAGGCACACAAAATAAAACAAAAAGGTCTGTTATTGTGGAAGAAATGGTAGGGAGAGCGAGCGGTTCTGCCGATGTGCAGCTGGGGCAACAAGAGGGCCTCAGGGTCCTGCGGCCGTCCGCAGCTTCCTTCTCCACACAGGAGCCCCTGGATGCTTTTTCCCCTTGAAATTAAACCAAAGCCAGCAAGCACGGGAGACAAAGGTTCCATCAGTAGCTTCCATGGTCTGGATGGGGTTGACAGGGAGCAGAGAATAGCATGCAGACCTTGACATGGAGCCAGGGGTACAGGCCAGCTCTCCCTCCCCTAAAGCCTGGGTGTTTCCCACCAGACTTATGTTTTATCGTCCTGCTCTTGGGTGCCTTCCTCCATGGCATCTGCCACCCCATCAAACTATCCCAGCATTTCTCTTGTTCCCAGTCCTCAGCTGCTTCTCTGAGCTTGTGGCAAATGTTGCCCGTGGGTGTTGGCCCTATGCCTCCCTTCCGGAGAACCCTGTGTGAGGCAGAGACCATGCATGTGACCCATCCTCCTTGGAATTTGGCTTGTGACAGATGCTCCACAAATGATGAACAAATAGATTTGCTTCCCAGCTGCTCTGCTCTCAGCTGCTGGAGCTTAAAAGGCACTAGCGGTTTCTAGGTTGGGTGTGTGCTAAGGGCAGCTTCACCAAAGCTTGGGCAGACCCTGTGGACTTGAGCTTCAGACCCTGTGGACCTTAAGGTAGGACCCAGGAATCCAAGAAAAGCCAAGAATGGCAGACTGGACACCCAGGAGCACCTGGCATCTTTCTCCACTTACAGAGAATCTGAAAGGAAAAGGATACTGGCTTATCACCCTCCCCTCCAAGGTGGGCTCCAGAGTGGCCACCTGTGTTCATCTAAAGCCCTACTCAGCTGCCAAGAGCATTGTCTGAGCACCTGTTACAGCCTGGACATATGGTTCTACTCCCCACATCTTTGTATAGCCTGCATGGTTCCCATGAGACAGAGAGTGTGATAATATCCCTACACTAGCAGTGGCTGTACCTCAGATGCCCTACTTTTCTGTTCTGGAAAATCTGAGACCTCTGAGGATGGCCTTTATGAAGGAACATTCCTCCAGCTTTCCATGGAGGTTGTTGATGAGGTTCTTCCCATGCAGATGTGCCTGGCTTCTGTGGTCCCATGTACATCTTTTGATACCTCTGAGAGGTTTCAGAGAGGACAATAATCTTTTTAGGTGATTCCTAAAAGCTTCATAGGATGTGTTTGAAGACATGGTGTTATGGTTTAGGCATAAGATGTTCCCACCAGAGGCTCATGTGTTTGAGGCTGGGTCCCAAGCAGATGGGACTATTTTGGGAGATCATGGGAACTTCAGAAGGTGGCACACGCCTGGGGAGATAGGTCATTGGGGTCGGGTTCTTGGGGTTTCTTGTCACTGACTCTGTCCTGATTTGTTCTCTGCTTTTGTTCACCAAGAACTAAAGAGCTGCCTTTGCCACTTGCTGTCCCTTCCATGGTGTTCTTCCTGAGCACACTAGGCCAAGCAACCATGGGCTGAACCCTCGGCAGCCATGAGCAAGGAACTCCTTACCCCCTTTCAAGTGTTCTTTCAGGTGTTTTGGCCAGAGTTATATAAAAGTCAGTAACATACTTTATGTATATGTGACAGAGGCGAGTATGTGTGGATGCAGATATGGGGTAGGGCTGCTCATAAAACCAAGGGGCTGAGATAGTTGCCAGGAAAGTGCCAAACAAAGCCCACATGTTTGGTTCTCATGCCCTTATACCACTCATTGTATATTAAAATGGAGCAAAACCATACTTACAGATCTTGTATTTAAAGTAAATGAGCTTAGGTCCTAGGATCTTATGAATAGGTTTCTTCCTATCCATGATGTGAATTCCAGGTGGTCATTAAACTACATCATTTGTAGACCATGTTATCACCGTGTGTCCAGCATCCCTGTCCTCTGCCGGTCAGGTATAGTCCTCATCAGTACCATAAACAGAATTATGCAATAAGAAATCCAGATTTTCCCCAGTTGGTGAATTTCCTTGAGTATCAAAGCCACTGAGCAGAGTATTTCCAGCTTTGGTGCCCTGAGTGCAAGGATATCAAGGTTTTAGAAGTTGCTGGACACGTTGAGCGGGGGCAGATCCTTTTGTGGCACTGCTTCCATGCCGATGCTCTTGGAGTTGTTATTCCTATGACTCCCCGTTTCCTACTGGAAAAGGAGGAAATGCAGAGTGATGGGGATTTGCCCCAGTATTGCTATCTCTCCTACTCCCAGACTAGAAGCAAGGCAGATCCCAGCTTGGGGAGAAGGATGGGGTATAGCCCAGTTACCACAGGTGACTGGGGAATAGCTGATGGCTGTGGGAACCCTGGGGGTCTGGAATACTGGGGTGTTTCCATGGCAACCATATGGCCAGGGTATAACACAGGAAGTGGTCCCTGTTGTGGGTTAGCTGCTATCAGTGGCTATGGCTCTTACTGACTCATTAAGCATTTGTGGGCCACGCTACATGTGTCCAAATGATTCTGTGACCCTAAGATACTAAAAACCAATGACACTTATCAACTTTATATAACATGGTCTCCCTTTCCATGCACTAAATTATAATAAATTTGCATCATTGATACTACAGCTAAACCATAAATAAAAGCCTGAGAATAGTGTTTGGTTTGAAGAGGATCCAGTTCTTACTAGGGGGTCTGACTATGAGCCTGTTGGTTTTTAGGTTTCCCCCTCAAAGTATGTTGCTTGGACTTTTACATACATGGTTGGGAAAGCCAGCCCTTTCTGTAGGGGCCACAGAGCACTGAGGCCTGCAGGCTGCTCCTATCCAATGATGCTTCTTGGTTCCTGCAGCAACATCTGGACAGAGGGTATTAGAATAGCGGACCCACTCCTGAGGACCCTCCAATACTCTTGACTCTTCCAAAGCCACGGGCTGCAGGCCAGCTTTCTTGGCTGCTGTTCTGCCTCAGCCATCACTGCTGTGTTTCCAGGACACCCAGCTGGGCTATGAGCAAAGCTAATTGTACCCATGTGTTGCCATTCCAGCACAAGCGTACTCCAGTCTTCTCCCTAGCAAATCTCTGTGCTTGCTATATTAGTCCTGCAGTGCCCAGGACCTCATCCCAGAGCCCCTTCAGCTGAGTCTCCGGAGAATACTGGTTCTAGGCAACAGGGCTGAGCTCTGAATTCTGTTGTTTCCTCAGGTCACTGGTTTCTAAGGCCATTGCTTTTCTGGAGTCGACCTAGTCTTGCTGATCTAGGGAGCCTCCAGTGATCCCCCAGCCTTTTATGCCCAACCTTCCAAAAGTAGAGTTCTTATGGCATCTTGTAGCCAAGTAGGAACAGCAGCAGAGAACAGAAGGATGACCTGAGAAGGTCAAAGGGCTCAGCTGTCTGGAGTCAGAGACACCTGATTGTCCCAAAGTCAACCTCACCCTTTGTCTTTTGGCAAATAGCTCCACAGGCTATACTTAGTCCCATCAGTTCTGGACAGACCCATTGAGACTGGTGTGGAAAAGAGGCCATCTTCCCTTTGTGAGACCATGGGCCTCCTGGTAGCTTCCTAAGGAGTCCTGCTTAGAGCCTAGATTCAAATTCTTCTGTTTATAAGGCAAGTCTTCAGAAACTGCAGATGAATTAT